AGAGAGAGAGAGAGAGAGAGAGAGAGAGAGAGAGACGTAGCAGTGCTACTCAGTGTACGTGAGGTACACATCCTTGCAACATAAACTCGGACTGTCTCAGACCTGTCACGCAGACTCGAGCGTGAGTCCTCACAAAATAAAAGCGCCCACTAGCACATCAGGCGACGCCAGACATTTTGCCAGTGGGATGGGGTGTTGTGCGAGAGAGAATTTTTGTTTTTTGTTTTGGTAAGTGTTTTACGGCGCTCACAACTGTATATTATTATGGTCACATGAGCGCGTGGGACACATTTCACATTTTCAGTTGGTAGAAAAATTGGAATTTTGCCCCGGAGGCGGCCGAAGCCTACATAACTCTTATCGATTTTGAACCATCAAGGGATCTTTAACGTGTGCAACTTGCACAAGGGACATCCGAGATTTTTCGCCCTCGTCCGAGAAGGCTATGTAGATCTTTCCTACCATAAGGCTGTCCCCGTGGTTTTATGCACCCCGCATAATTTAGCAAAATTTGATCATTTTTTGCATAATTTTTGATTATTTTCCTTTATCTTTATCATTCTTTGTTAAAATTAACAGAATCGCATAATTTCACATTTTTGGGCTCAGTTTGCATAATTTCAGAATTTTTCTTGCATAAAACGACAGGGACAGATAAGGTCAGGGGTGTGGCTGAAGACAGCAGTAAGAAAGGGGTTAAGGAGCAGCAGTAGAAAGGCTGCAGAAAAAGTCAGGAGCCTAGAGGAAGGGGCAAAGGAGGTGAGGGGGTGGGGGCAGAAAGTGGAGACGAAAGCAGACGACAGAACATTGTCAGAGAGCAGGAAACGATGTGAAAGGAGAAAATTTAAGAAGAAAATATTCCGTCACTATCCGGATTCTAACCCACGACCTATTGAATGAGAGGCCAAAACCTTAACCTCTAGACTACGAGAGCCCCCCTCCCCACCCCGAGAGATATTTTCAAGCGTAGCAGTCCAACGAGTGGGTTCCGTGCACAGTGTGGTACCTCTGGTGGCCAGTTCGCTGGAGGCATGACAGGGAAAATTTACATAAGTTCAGGAAGGACAGTACAACTCAAGACACTTGGCGGATGGTGGTGCATAGGCGCAAATATTATGTTTATATATTATATGTATATAGGTCTGGCAGTAAGTGGGGCTGGTGGTATAACAGGGTGCGTGCGTGTGGGAGAGAGAGAGAGAGACAGAGAGACAGAGAGAGAGAGAGGGTGGGTGTTATAATGAGGTAATAAGTTGAACTGTACCTCTAACAGAAACGACGAAATGATGAAGACAATGATGCTGTTTAGGAAACTGTAGTACAAACACATGGAGGATAAGGACACCAACACATAGTCAAAACAAAGTAAGAGAATACAATCACCTTCATGCTTACTTGTGTACAGACTTTATTACATTAATATCCAAATGTAAATAATAGACACATTAGAACAACTAAATTTACAACACTGAACATCCATACTGCAGTTTGCAATAAAGTTAAGCACACAGCATACAACCCCCCGATAATCAAATGAAATGAAAAGGAGCATGAGGAATAGAAAAAATCAAATCTAAACATTTACATGGGTATGTTTGGTGGCCCTCCCATATCTCCTCTACCATCGTTGAACAATAAATCCTTTACCTTAAAGAGGGCAAAAATGATCCTACAAAAAGACTTCAAACACAACTTGGGCAAAAATGATCCTACAAAAATACTTCAAACACAACTTCTCAGTTGAAACATTCAATTATAGCATTAGTGATTCAGGTAAGCAGATTATTTGAAATAAGATACAAAAAAATATGCCACAAGGCGGGCAAGTTAAACTCGTACAACGGTAAGATAAAGAAAGAAAACACAAGACTTGACCAACGGAGGCTTCAAGTAAACTTAACTAATATACATTTACTTTGTAATTGTAATAAAAAGTTGACACCTTTTTAAAAACTGAACTTGTATGAGACGTGACATGACAAGAAACAAAATGATGAAAGCATCTGTGCACAGTAATAATATTCTCTCTCTCTCTCTCTGAAATGTGCACCAAGGATGGGAGATTAGTCTTTTGGCAAGGACACCCAAACCATTTCTTGAAAAATAATATATAACGCCCTAAACAATTCAAGCTGAAAGATTTTTAAAAAATAATAAATAAAAATGCATGTCTGTTAAGTTGCAATGCACTCTAATAATGTGTGTGTGAAGGAGGGAAATTGAGAGAAGAATCCTAATTATTTCAAGTCTGAATTCAAGACGCATCAGCACCAATCAATCCATTTTTTAAATAGAAAACCCCAGGAAAAGAAAAGGTATACCCTGTGTGATAGAGCAGCTCTAAGAGTCGCAAAACAAAGACAATACATGGTCACCCCAAAAAAAACAAAAAAACCCAACCAGTCACCACTACTATGTTTTGATTGAAAAGGAGAACCCCCCCCCCCCCCCTCCCCCCGACACAGTTGAAAGGAAAATTGTTATTCCAATTTCCAGACAAAAGGGTGAAGGAGTAAGGAAAAGCACTTTTGACAATGCCTTTCAACTCAGTAAACAAAGCTACAAGACTACTAAGATGCCTGTCAAAGTCAAGGTATTTCTTGCTTCAGTAGACTGGACAAAAAACAATAAAAATTGTATAAACTGGGGTGGAAAGAGGATGAAGATAAAGTAAATACAGTATGATAATAAATATAAATAGCCCATTTCAGTGGAAAAAGAAATTGATAAAAAATGCTTCATAAAGCACATAAGTTGTAACTTTTTAAAAACAATCTGACAGATGAAAATCGTAATACCATTTAAACTGCTACAAAAGACAGAGTTTTCACTCGACATTCAAGCTGGATGAGCCGGTCTATGTTGAATCAAATTCAACTTGAGATTTTTAAAAAAGAATAGGATACCCACCATAATGATGGCCAAACAAGGACAAGAAAAAAAAAAAGGCAAGATTGTAATTTCACTGCCATATGTGAAACACATGGAAAAAATGGCTGCTGTAAAGCTTCAAGCTCAAAGTATCTTGCTGAACTATGAAGAAATGATCTACAGAAGAAATTTGACTTTCACAACATGGCAAACAAAAAGTCTACAAACATGCATCAGAACTATTACATAATTTTGAACAATAAATACTTCACTGTTACACACCTTCTTAGCCTGTCCCAGTAAGAAATTTCCTACTACTTCAACCGTAGATTTAACTGTAAGTCTTCATATTGCAGACAAGCTTGAGTCCTGTGTTCCTTTCAAAACCATACCAATGCAGACATTAACAGGAGGTAGAACCTCTGAACTAACATCTGTACAAATGGGCAGAGAGCCATAATGACTCTCCAAACAGTCTTAGAGTTAAAAGATGGAGGAATCAAAACAAATTCACTCACACAGCTGTCCAGCTAATCTCCTACAGAGTCAACTTGGAGAGGCCAGATTTTGCACACGTTTGGAAGAGCACCATGGAAATGATAACGGCTCAAACAACACTATCTCCCTGATTACGGTGCATTCCATCGCACAGAAGAAAATTTTTTTAAAAGAAAACCACCCAGGATTCGATTGAATGCTGAGCTCAGGTCCAAGAAAATAATAAGTAGACCATCAAAACCACACAGTCTTTTACCACAACATGTAAAGAAGAGAAAGATCAAATTCTTTGTACTGTTCCAGTATTGCACAAAAATGAGAATTCACAGTTCGCTCCCTCAACAGACACTATTTGCTACTATGGCAAAGCTGTCTGACTATAATGCTGTGACACAGACAAGCAGTACAGCCAAGTGGAACAAAAATCCTCCAAAACAGATTTATAATACAAGTACACTTTCCCCTGACTTTCGATTGGGTTTAAATACTTCTGTGGTAGAACTCAAGAAAATCTTTGTCAAAAAGCAGCATCTGAGCTATTAGGAACCATCATCTACTATCCATCAAGTTTTAGTAAGAGCAATGCAAACATAATCATAGCAATCACAAATACAGATACTGTTAATGAAAATCTCAACCCAAAGAAGGAATGAAATTCATTTCGGGTCATGGATGAAAGGTGATAAAAAGGATGATATTGATATTTCTAATTCTTCATCTATGAAAGAAACTTAAAGGGAGTATCATACAATTTTTTAAAAAATGCAAGAATCAAGAAACAGGGAAACATTTCCATACACAAAATCATTGTTCTTACGAGGCAACATGCACAGCCACTTTCTCTCCATTGGACTCAAATCAAGGCATTACTCCTTCCCCAAGCTCGCATCACAGACACGCAGGAATTTTGTATAAAGCGTTTCCAGACGTCACTTTTCTGCATTATCATCATCTCACTCAGTCCATGTTTGCACTGTTGGTCCTTTATCGTCCACTCTTGGAGTGTTGAATCAGCCACTGTAAGGTAATGTCTGAGAAAAAAAATAAAATAAATAAAAGCAAGACTAAATGGAAGACCGTGGAGTCAGATATGAAATGAACCCAAAATCATATTGACAATTCATTTAGTTAAATGACTAACAAGAGACACAAAAGGTTTTCTTCTTCTGAATGTGGACCACCCTTGCCTCCTGACATCAAGAGGGAACATCTGAGAAAGGATGAGAAAAACTTTGAATTTCCCATCTCCATGCTTCGGTTAAGTCAGTAGTCAATGGGACCACAACATATCAGTCAGAACCATGACCCCTATATTCCAAGGAAAAAAACCCAAACAAACAACAGCTGACTGGAAATGAGCACCTATCAACTACATCTTTTACCTGATAACGCCATACACGTTACTAAACTGGTCATTTAATCAAAACAAATAAACTCATTTTAAGAGTTCTTCATCTACTGAAAGAACACCCGGTAAGAGAGACGTACTCTTTCAGTAATTGCTGAAAATTAATATAACATTGTCACCACAAAGCTTCTGACTGCAAGCCCCTGGGAGCGGCTTGCAGGAGACATAGAGTTATGACAAAAACTTTAAGACATTTCAATCATTCAACAGGAACAATCAAACCTAATCACCAAAAAGTAGCAAAAGGTGTGAAATGGCAGCAAATCGACAAAAACGAGGAAGACTTAACCCTGCCTTGATAAATAGGGTTTTATGAAAACCAATCTACACTCATCAAAAAAGCTGTTCAAACTTTAGAATGATAGGGTGCTTACCTATGTTCTCTTTTTCCTTGCATGATATGGAATAACAGCATATTTCTCTGTCTTGTATTGCTGAAAGATTCCTGCAAAGTAAAACAAAACAAATTTAATACATCAGCACAGAGAATATATAACTATTTTCTGTAAGATAGATAACATAAATCTTTATTGTCCAGATCCTGGCACAATGGTTGGTGTTTCATTCACACATACATGCTTTGGAGTGACCACACTGGTGTAGCCCCCCATATCCCAATATGTTATTACATATGCCACTTTTACAGACACAAACAAACAAGTTGAGCATGCATGTCAAGAAAAGACAAGGGGACTTACTTGTCCTTTGTCAAAGACCCTGAGCCTGAGCCTCTTCAGCCCGTTCAAAACCATAAAAAAAAATAATTTTCTAACAACTTTCCTCCCATGTGAACAAAGCTAGTGTTAAAAACAATATTTTTTAAACACTATTATCAGCGACGCCAATTTAACACTCTAGAACAATAGAAGCTAAAGAGCACAGTGAAAAACACAGATCTCAGTCCGTTTCATAAATGCTCTGACATACACCAGGCGTTACTCGATCAATAGTGAAGCGCTTTACTAGACACACTGACCAGACCTGCTATTCTATGAAATTTAAAAATCAGGATCTCAAGGGGGAAAATCTGGATCTGGGGAAAAAAATCGGGACCAACGACAAATCACCAGGGTGACTGCCGTGCCGACTTTAAAATTTACCACGGGTGCCCATAAATATATGAAAACAGAGTTAGTTTTTGGAAAAATCTGACGCAACAGAAGGAACAAAACAATTGGGATACACGCAAAAGAAATCTGGATGCTTGAGACTCAGATTAGGGGAAAAAAAAATATCTGAATAGAATATCCCAATTAAACCTGAATGGGTGGCAAGTCTGCATTGACCCAGCACCTGCTTTATAAAAAAATTTACCAAATCACCAACAAATAGAACATGTCAATTTTTGCTATTCATTACTCTGGTAGTCTTGAGTGTTATATACTTGCTCATTACATGTGAAGTTTGTAAGACCAAAGAAATATCAACCCTGAATTTTTTAGACAAACAAATAGAATGACACAGCTCTCTATTCATAGTCTATTAATACGAAAAAAAATGACACATGAAGACAACATCCAGTAAAAACATTTTTTAAAACAGAAAAAGCCTAACTCCTAGAGCGTAAATCTTCTCCTGGGGAAAGGGTTAGAGGCCGCTATAAATTTATTGTTCTACAACTTCATCAAAACCATTAAAAAATTTGAGCCACAGACTGCTTTGATCATTTATACCACAGCTAAACTGGGTTGAGTAATAATAATAATAGTAATAGAAGATAGCATTGGCATGGCTTTACAATTTCGATATTATTACCCCCAGCGGACCTGATAGCATTCTGAAACAATCTCAACTTTCTGGGAAGCATACAATGCAAGCTGAATTTTTTTAATAAGCGCTAAAACACTAATAACCTGACAAGATCTTTCGCTCTCTATAGCTGGGTACCCGTTCCCACCAGAGTGAGGAAAATCCGTGTAAAGTGCCTTCCTCAAAGATACAATGTCGGATCTGAGGCTCAAATCTGCAAACTTCACCATTACGAGTCCAGTAGCCTAACCCCTAGACTACCAATGAGTAAGGAGACACTCATTAAAATAAACGTCTCCACTGGGAATCTGACTCACATCTTCTGTTGTGTTGTGAGCAACGGTGAAGAGCCTAATCATTACATCCAAAAACCATGTTCCTATACATCACAAAGCAAACAGTGCCAGAAAATGAAAATCACGTCCATCAAAGACCGGTTCAGGGTTCTGACCAAGTATCACTAGTGCTATGGGGAATGGAAGGGGAAAAAAACAAACCCACAAGGAACCCTAAGTTCAGACAAGGCATTTAGAAATTCAAGTAGTCTTTAAGCAATACTTTTATTAGGATAAGACCATGAGAAAATGAAACAAAAGTGAAAAAATATTTGACAAGATCTCTCCCAACCAAAAATATTTAACATGAATAAAGCAATGTCTTCACTCTAGCTCGGCTACAACCTTGTCGCATACTTACATTCTCTCGATTAGCTCTCTCTCGTCAAGTGCACCCTGCAGGTCACGCTTGTTGCCCAGTACCAGTACAGGAATGCCCTGAAGCTGTGGCTTGTCTAACAAATTGTGAAGTTCATTCCGAGAGGCTTCCAACTTATCATGGTCAGCTGCATCCACCATGTACCTGAGAAAGAAACAATGACAATGACAACTTCAAAAGTCTATTCTATTCTAAATTGCATGCATGACACCAACGTTAACCAATCCTTCAGCAGTGCATCTGCACTTGTTGCGAGCAATGGCAATAAAGAATTCCTTTAAATGCCATAATGACACACACTCTCTTTTTTTGTGCATGTGTCCAAATATCAATCCTTGCCATGTGCACAACATTCAGAGTTTAAATTAGTAATGTTGCATAATAAACAGGTGCAGCTGGTGACTACATTCCCACAGCCACTTGGATGCCAGCACCCCCATTTAAATTTCAAACAAACAACTGGCAACAGAAAATCAATGCTCGTAATTTTCCAAGTGTGAGAAGCCCACATTAGTCACCAGTTGGGATGATTCTAACCAAAACGCAAACATAATCTTCGTGCACCACATCAATAAGACGTTGCCAAAATTGTAACAGTTCAGCCATTTTATAATTAGCATGGTACAAGTACAAGTTGAAACAAGAGTATATTATATGAACTAAAAATAAGGTGAACAGCTAGGAAAAAGCTGTTAAATGAAAAAAACTATATCAGAAACAGAGACAAAATCAGAAATTAGTTCAAGCTTCGCCAGTTTCCAAAATGAAATTTTATTGTAAAACAACTTTTCCAAGGGCACCATCAAAAACAGCACCGAAGAAGTAATGGCAGTGACCTTTGAACTTTAATGTTTCAAGAATGTTCACAACAGCACAGAAAAAATTCAAGCCTAAAACAATAACATATCCCCATTTCCTTCCAAAATACATTTCAAACTCTATCAAGGCTAATAGACAACATTAATTTAAAAACACAAACAACAGCAAAAAAATACTCAAAGTGACTAGCCACCCTCTCATTCCAAATACATACAACCACAAAAAAGTACACCAAATATATTTAAAGATATTATGGGATACTTACACAATGGCATTAACACCTCTGCAGTACCTCTCCCACATGCTGCGGAATCTCGGCTGACCACCTATATCCCACAACTAAAATGATTCAAGAAATAGGACAAGACATGATCAATACCTGCTTACGACAAATGACCGTAAAATTATCCTACTTAACAAAATTAGAAAAAATATTACGAGACTATCAAATATGTTACACTACACAGAGAGGGAAATAGATGGGCCAAGGCCACTATAAAACCCGATAAAGTATAAAGGCCTTATATAAGACACGACACTAGTTCTGTTATAGTTTTACACTGTGGAGTGTACAATGCATAACCCTGGTACGCAAACTCAACTGAGCTTTTTGAACAATAGTTTCATGGTTCAAGGTCAAGACGTTTTCACAGTTCACCCTCTCTACTCACTAAGCTCACTCCACTTCTATCATGATAGGACTATGAAAATATATTTCTCTTTCAAACCAATCCAGTTGGAATGGCGTCTCTGGTGTAAGGAATAGGAGTTAGCCCTTTGAGGCCTAAAGCCTTCTTGTTACGATATGGTCACAAGGAAGGCCCGCAGCGCAGTGGAATTTACTCACTACGATGGGCCTTCATACCTTTTATGACCTGATCATTTCACATTTCCTTACAGGAACACTGTTCTATAAAGAAAAGATTTCATCAGCTCTTCCTGCAGTGGTCTTCAATGCAGTCACTAGTATTTTTCAGACTTTCTTCGGCTAAAAAAGCATTATTAAATACAGTTGTCCTGATTGCCCTTCCGCAAAAACATGGCTTAAACTTTTGACTAGCAGAAAGAAGACATATAATATATATCATAGAAAGAATGATCTTTTACCCCCAAAGTAAAAAATGACAAGAAACTTGCTGACTGAGACTCCTAACTTCCTAACAATTTTAACACTATCCGTACGTTGTGTTTTACTGTCGTACCCATACGACGTGGAAAACTCTGTGCCATCACTTTCATTACTTTCAAAGAGGAAATTTACTCGACTCGTAAATCTGACCCGTACCCTTTGCAATCTGTCAAAATGATTTTTTGAGAAATACTGAAAATTTCAAAGAGATCATACTAGAAGTATTCTAAAATGTGAAGAATACAACCCTGGGGGTACAAAATGACCCCAGGGTGTACGGATAGTGATAAAAGGAAAAACTATACTTACTTTGATTGTGACATTCCCCTTTGATATTTTTCTCATATTGAAACCGACTGTTGGGATCATGTCTTCACTAAACTGTCCTGACTGAAAATAAAAAAGGGAAAAAACATGAATAAAAATTCCAATATATCACATTCCTGTTTCTCAGAATCAGAAAATCAAAATAAGTAAACATCATTGAAGACAAACAGCATTAAAAACTAAAAAGACTCTCATAAGCTCACATGAAATAAAAAAGAATGCACATATATAATTTCTACCGCCAGAATCAACAAATGACTTCTATAATGTAAAATGTTAAAAACTATTTTAAAAAAGGCTGCTGATTAACAAAGCTCAAGCTTTCGTCTGATGTATTGTTATGAACAAACAATTAAATGATATCTCTGCAAAATACCATGTATCATTTAGTCATTTGTCATTTAGGTATGAGACGGCTGTTTCATAACCTCCCTTTACGCCACTACTGTTGCACAAATATGGAAAATCAGCGTGCGGGCAGATGACTTGGAAGAGATACGAAGAAGAGAGGTGTAAGAATTTGCTCGTCTTAATGTTATGAAGGAAACCACGTACTCATGTAATCTACAGTTGTTTTGAGATTTTAAAAATAATCTCAAGCCGACTGGAGGAAGCATTAGATCTCCACTTACTGTCTGATGTTTTGATTTTTATCATTAGCATTATATATGCATGTATTTCAAAAGGTTGTATTTTAAGAGTTTTACGGAGTTCACAACGTATATATGGTTATATGAGCGAGCGCAGTCAGGTTTTCCCAATGTACAAAAAGGAATGCCTTCAAATAAACAAAGTATTTTCGCCTTTACACCATCATCCATCAACTGTCTGAGTTCCACATTAATAAACTATTGCTCTGCCTGCAAATGAATTGGTTGCCAGAGGTACACTGTACTACACACCCCAATCATAATCTATATCCCCCCCCCCCCCCCCCAAAATCAGGATCTTAGAGGGAAAAAATTGGGATTTGATGAAAAAAAGGGGATCACGGTGACTGCAAAGCTGATTAAAAAACTTCCCACGGGTGTCCATAGATATCCATGTATATGCCCCCTGAGTGTGTGTGTGTGTTTTTCATCATTAATTTTTTAAATCCTGAATCATCACGTCAAGGACTCCTAGTCCAAGTGTCAATATTTTCATAACTGAATCTGAACTTCCGATTTTCGATGGAACCGCTTGACCCGCAAGTCAATGTTATATTATAACCTTTATTTTAGCATGGATATGTGGATTGGAATAAAATCTAAGCTAGAATTATAGGTCGGTGTTCGGGCCGTTGGAGGCGACTTGGCGCACAAAGACACTTTCGCTGAGCCGCTGCCCAAGGCTCGGCGTAGCAAATGAGTTAAAGCATCATCCGCGTGATGACTGGGTCCAGTATTCCCGCAGGTCAAATGTGTGTGCATCAGTCTACTTGAGTTTGTGTCTGTTTATGGCATACTTCTAGAACTGCATGCGTTGATTCGTAACAGAGGCACACGTCTCATTCAAAACATGCCAAGTAGGTAGCTCTTGATGTTCGTCCAATTAAATGTGAAAAGATATGAGGAGCTCGAAAGAATAGCCAGGAAACTCACTTCCTTTTATAAAAGGTCCTTGACACATATGATAGTATAGCCTAGCTTCTGATCTATGCTTCCTTTAATTTGAATTTATGTTTAACAGAGTTTACGGAGTGTCAAAGTACACGGTAACCAGGCACGTAGTCTCAGTATCTACGTACACGGTAACAGAGTGCTTAAGTTTCGGGGGCCACCTGAGCTAGGTGCACAGTAAAAGCTTCGCTCCCTTTATGACCTTGACTTCTTTCATTTTTTCCCCGCTTTCCTGTTGTATTTATTTGTATCCAGGTTCATGGAAAACTCTGAACCCAAATAATGGAACACACCTGTCCAGTGGCGGTGGGTAGTGAAGAGCTCACGGGCTTGCCCCTACCCCCTCCCCAACCCTATCCTAAAGTAAATGAAAGTTTCTCCATAATGAAATTAGCAGTTGAAACCGTTATGACCTCACGGAATGAACACAGAGTGATCAACCTGGCGGCTTGCTCGCTTATCCAATCACTGTTATCCCAGCTTACAACTATAGTAACCCAGCAGCCAATCAAATGTCTTTAGGGCTCAGCAAAGACGAGCCCTTTTCCCACAGTCCGTCCTTAATGAAACTCTTCTTGTAAAAAGGTAGAAGACTGGGAAAAAATAACAATGTACTGCGGGCTCACGCTCTCCTAGCCCTGACAATGGGGTGAAAGTTTACGACACACTTTCCCCCACAGACACAGATACCTATGCGCTCATTAGTTCTTTGTTGGGTGCGTTAAACTTTCTCGACTACACGGCCTAATCCAGCTCATAGAAGTATTATGTTTGAAGTGCTGTGTGTGCATGTTTGTGTTTGTGCTGCTGAGATTTAACAGTTATAACTTTTTCATCACACGAAAACTAATTAGAGGAAATTTGGAGGTGAATCGGCTTCGTCCCCACCATCAACAAAAATTTAACTAAGGACAAAGAGATTGAAAACAAAGGCAACTCTTCTCGTTTGAATGGTTCTCAAACTGCCGTGGCTCACCGTGAGTATAGAAAAACCATCACTGTTTAATTCTTATTGCTTTCTATTTGGTGGTAAAAAACTGGAAGAAACCTAAGCCCCATCCAAATTTTGGTCCACCCACCGCCACTGCACCCGTCTTGTTTCCTCATAGACAACTGTGAACCCTCCAAATAAAGCAACACACCCAAGGCACCCCCCCCCCAAAAAAAAAAACGCGCCATAGTTGTTCATTTATTTATTTTTCTTATTCCTTTATCTTCAATTAGTACATGTGTCACAGCACGCACTTTAACACATTACACCCTAACTCGCCCGGGAATTCCCTTTTACGCATTCCACCTGCGCCGACCTAGCATCTTTAGAAACAAAGTCTCGCCTTGACGAGACTCTGGGGCAGAGACTTTGACTCGCATAGTTATTGCAAAAAGTTTTTTCTTTCGTTTGATATCGAAATGAAATTTTTCGTGCCTGTAGTTTTAATATTAGAGCCGAACAAAGTGCGATTGCGTTACCGACACTTCGAAGGTGTCTCGACTTGTTGAAAAAAGCAACTCAATCGAGTTCGAAAAAGGAAATAACGATGGATTTGAGCAAAAACAATGACAAATTTAAATCAGATGACTCAGATTTTTATGAAAGGGAGTGTATACAGACCCGGCAACCGGGAACAAAGTCACAAAGTATACAGACCCGGTAGGGGAACCCTTTTGTGATTTCGGAAAGTTTCAGCGCCCTCTTGGCTCAGGTTAAACCTAGGACAGGTTCTTCTAGATCTATGGCCTAGGCTAGGTCTAGATCTAGATAGACAGACATATATCATTGATCTAGTTTCGAGGCTAGCCTAGATCTAGATCTAAATGAAGATTGCGGATGTCTTTTCGATGAAAGATCGTTTTTCCTCCGTTTTGGAGTTGGAGGAATCACAATTTGAAGAAAAGAACAAAGTCATAATTTCTCTCGAGCAGTCATCCTCTCTATTTCTCTCTCTCTGTCGCTCGCATTCTCTTTTTCTTTGTTTGTCTCTGTCTTTCTTTCTCGGCACCTATTTCCCACTATATCTTTCTCTCGTTCCCACCTGCCAACTGGGGCATATCATACATGACATTTTGCTAGCACTAGCACTTCCCCCTGCTCTCTCTCTCTCTCTCTCTCACAAACACACACACACTATCGGGTCTGGGCGCTGAAACTTTCCGAAATCACAAAAGAGTTCCCTTACCGGGTCTGTATACTTCGTGACTTTGTTCCCGGTTACCGGGTCTGCACACACTTTGTTTATGAAAACGTTGTACTCATGAGTTTGGGGTGATTCAGATTGATCAGACATAGAAAATCCAGAATTTAGATCTAGGGCCCGACCGCGAGGCTGAGAGTGAGAGTGACGGGTCGGACACCCCGATTGAACTAAAGTTAGAACATTTCCAATAATTTGCGCATAAAGTTATATTTTTGTGAAACTACATTCATTTTTCGTTTTAGATTTTATTTTTTTCAGGATTTTTGGAATTTGTTTAGTATTTTTAAAACGTGTTTTTTAAAGGCTTGTATTCACGGGAGATAGGTTCCTCACCCTTGCTTAGGATCTAACAATGAACTTCCCGCCCAGACCCTTAGGGTGTAATGTGTTAAGCTCAAGTGTAAAAAAATACCCCCATGCCTCCGTCTCACACTGGTTAAGTCCCGAAAAAACACCTCGACCAACCAGACAGGTGTGAATGAACTTTGTTGACCTTGACAACCGACAGTCCCCAGACGCATATGCGCTATTCACACGTAAGAGGTCCTATCACGTGATGTGAACGAGCGTTTTAAAGTTTCACTGACAGGTCTTGATGACGGGCCCTAGTAACCAGAACTGGGACAAAGCTTTCTTTTTTAATAGCAACGAAAGAACTACGAGTAGGTTGTTTTTAGGCCTATGTCATAATTGTTACAGTAATCAGGCCATCGTTGGAGAATTCTGGGTAACAAAAGCGAAAGAAATCAAGGTCATGAAGGGAACGAAGCATTTACCATGCACTTAGCTCAAGGGGCCCAAGAAACTAAAAACCCGGTTATCGTGTATGTAGATACTGAGACTATGTGCCCAGTTACCGTGTACGTAGACACTCCGGTTGTAAAGTTTAGCAGGAGCTGTACATGTAATTGGTTACTACCTGGGGGGTTTTCCCTCCCCGCCTCACAAAGATACAAGCCGTTATAATCTCTCTCTCTCTCAGAGCAAGACTCATGCAAGAAGACAGATCAAGGTCGTTAGTTAGGCACAACTGGCCACAGTTTGTCTCTAGTCTTTACCAGCCTATCATAAGTCAAGATGGTAATCGGCACCATCTCATTGTATTGCCAACTTTATGATGCTTAAGGTAGGCAGAAATAACGAGGTTTGACTGTATAGATAATAGTTAATGAAGGAAGTCGCTATCCTCACCCGCGGTGAGAATAAAAAAACGAAGTGGCTAGCCGTACTTAAGTACGGCTAGACTGCCAGTCTAGCCGTACTTAGATCTAGGTTTGGCCCAATCGACTCAATCCTGTTAAGTACACAGGTCTCATTAGATCTAGATCTAGTAATTATTCAGGTTCAAATACATGCAAGTCAGTAAGGCACCTTTTGGTTTTGTCTGAAATACAAATACTTTAGGCATTGCAAACTAAAATTTTCATTTACAATTCAGCCATCGATATTAAGTACGGCTAGACTGACAGTCTAGCCGTCCTTAAGTACGGCTAGCCTGGCTGTCTACCCGTACATAAGTACGGCTAGACTGCCAGTCTAGCCGTATTTATCTTAGCCCTATTTACATTAGAAAACAGGAGGTTTAAAATACATGCACTGTCATTAAGGAACCTGGTTTTGTCTCAAATACAAATACTTCAGGTACTGCACACTAAAAATGTATATTTACAATTCAGTAGGCCTATTTTTTGTAAATGGTCAGTCTAGCCATCATATTAAGAATAAGTACGGCTAGACTTTCTAGCCGTACTTAAGTACGGCTAGAATGTGAGTCTAGCCGTACTTAACGGCTAGACTGCCAGTCTAGCCGTCATTAAGTACGGCTAGCCTCTTCCATAAAAAAACGATCGACTTCTCACCCCGAGTGAGACTCGCCAGCGTTGGCTCTTCTCACCCAGTGTGAAACAAGACCTGTTTTTCCTAATTTCGAAATACTTTCTATCGGTGTGGATGACCAAATGGTTAAAAGCTAAGAAAAAATTGCGTTATAATAGTACAAAAGAAGGCTAATTTGATCGTCTACAAAGATGCTATGGCTATTTCACTTTTCGAATCGAGCCGAACTACGCGGGTCGCCATTTTGTTTTGCCCGGAAGTTCTCGCGCTTCTCCTCTCTCTCCACTGCCCACAGACAAAATTGTACGCTTTTAGGTTAACAGTAACAGTAGTGATGGAACGTTTGTTCACGGCACAGAATTCTACAATTTTTCTGTTATCACAGAGTGTAGAATTCTGGGGTTCAGGGACCAGGGTGAACGCACACCCGGTGAGAATAGCCAAAAGACTCGCCTGCGCTATTCTCACCCGGGGTGAGAATAGAGGTGGCCTTAGCCTTAAAATGAAAGTAAAAGTAGTAAAAGGTAGGCTATACACACCTAATGATCCTAACCAAATCCGACCCCGATTACATCTTGACCGAACCATGGCATATTTGAGACTAAATCTCACCAATTCAGAAAGGGAAGTGGCTATTCTCATCCGGGGTGAGAATAGAAAAACGATCTACCTCTCACCCCGGGTGAGACTTGCCAGCGTGGGCTATTCTCACCCGGTGCAAAACAAGACCTGCTTTTCCTCATTTTGGAACACTGTCTATCGGTGTGGATGATCAAATTGATAAAAGCCAAGAAAAAATTACATTTTATAGCACAAAAGTAAGCTAATTTGATCGTCTTCAAAGATGCTATGGCTATTTCACTGTTCGAATCGAGCCGAACTACGCGGGTCGCCATTTTGTTTTGCCCGGAAGTTCTCGCAAGATCTACTCCTCCCCTCTCTCTCTCTCTCTGTCTCTTTCTGAATACTGTCTATCGGTGTGGACGATCAAATTGACCAAAACGAAGTTAAAAAATGATGTTAAAACACAAAAGTAGGCACTTGGATAAAAATTTCAAAGCTTTCAAATTGCTTTAAAAACAATACCAATGCAAAGAGCTCAGTGACACGATTCCAACGCTACCTTAGTTATTGCTCTATGTTGAACCGTTTTTGAGATATTGCATTTTAAAGATCTTTTCGAGGGGATAACATCTATATAGAAAAAAAAGGCAATTTTTGTGATCGAAACAGCAAGGACAATAAGGGAAATGTAAGCTGCTTCAATATGCTGCTGCGTACATGCTAAAACCAAACATTTTCTGAAACCTTGTGATATTGAGGACAAAATAACAGTCAGACGAGATTTTTAAAATATGTCGTGGTGGGTAATATTGGGTAATATTATGTAACACTGTGTTGTGTAACGTGACCGCATCGTCCTGCGGTCAATATATTTTGCCATAACTTTCTTATAAATTAAGCTACATCAATAATTGAGGTATCATTTTGAAGGTCTTTTTAAGGCCTTTCTTTTGGAACATCTACATATCAAATATCAGTAAAATTAACAAAAAACTGATTAAAAAATATAATATATTTTAACAAAACAGCTGGTCGCCTAAAATAAGATGAGCATAGAAGTTTTTAAAGTTAACATTTGTGTCTACAGCTGCTGCAAACTAGTGTTTTTTAGTCTACCTTAATTCATGATAATACTGTTTTTTAAATTCATTTTGCATGTTATTGTTAGAATGTTTCTTTCATGTTTTAATTTGTCATGTAAATGAGTAAATGATCAATTACTCTGTCTTTATCTTTGATTTCTCTTTTACATCTTTAACTCATGAGATTGCCCTGTAAGTTAAACAATAGTCTCTTCTAATTTTATTACTTCAGTTTGTTCAGCAAGTTTTTCATTATATTTTTATTGTATTTATTTAAATGTTCAACTTCTTCAAAGACAATTAGTTGTGAAATATGACATGTTTTTTGAAGCACGCAATTGTGTCACGATACTTATTTATTCTTTCTTTATTTCTGGCAATTGTTTAGTTCACCCAGTCTGCCAACTTGATATTGTTAAATTAATGTCAATTTTTTTTTCTTGTCTGCAACAAATGCTTTCTTAAGTGCTCAATTTTTTTGCAACTTGTTCAAACAAGTTTTTCTGTGAATTCGACCAACTCCGCAAGCATTTCTGGATTTTAATTAAAGTCAGGATTTATTCTGGTGAGCTGTCAATAAATCCAATGGAACAGTGGCAGGTTGTGATCAGGGGCTGTGGAAAGAAAAAAAAAGCAAAGCAATGAATTCATCAATGAAGTAAATAAATTCATTTGTGAGCAGTGGATGGAAATTTGACATTTTCACACTACAACTCTAGTAAAGGGAGAGTGTAGATGACTAGACAAGAGAAAAAACATCTTCTAATAAACATGTATCTTAAAACAAACTGGACAAAGTACATGAAAATTTAAAGAGATATTTAAATAACAAGCACACACAAAAACAATTAAGAAGAAAAAATATTTAAAGACAATATAAGCACACAAAAGAAGTAAAAACTTGCGTGAAATGGATGGTCTAACAGTGACAGTAACACAGAAACAAAACAAGGCCAAGGCTGTTACATTTCCCTCCCCCCACCCAAGACTCCTTACTGATTGTTACATGGTGCAAATTCATAAAAATTATACAACAGTGATACATATTACATTCCAAAATTTAAAATGAATCATATCTTCTACTATAAAACATTCTTCAATGCCGTTTAAGAGGTAATAAACGCCAACAATACACGTTAGCGTGGGTTAAGTTCGCTTTCCGCAATGGCCGCCATGACCTCCCGGTTCACGCTCAGCAGCGCGATCGATAATAGGTCATGCCCATTCATGGAGAGTGACCTATTTAAATTAGGGCTCACACGCTTATGCCTCAACGTACAACATTGAAATTAACAAATAAAAGAGATAAAAGGTTGAAGAAAAGACTGTGAGGAGTACCTAAAAAAAAAAAGATATACTCTTTAAATATAAAGGCTTGAACTTACCTTATTTTTAACTCCTTGTAACTCCGAACACACACAACCGATCCCGAAGTGGAAAACGCCATAATACGCGCCTTTCTTTCCTCTTTAATTTGATAGGCGGAAGTAATCCATAAATTGAAAAGAACACTATAAACGAAACAAAACAAATAGGTACCCCCCTCACGGGGCCCGATTTCTGACACAAAACGCGGCGGCCGCAGGTGAACGAAAATCTCGGGCCGCGCGGGCCGATATCCAAGTGCCTAACAAAAGTAAATTAATTTGGTTGTCAACAAAGATGCTACGGCTATTTAACTTTTCGAATCGAGCAGAACTACACAGGTCGCCATTTTGTTTTGACCGGAAGTTCTCACCCTACTCCTCTCTCTGTCTCTTTCTCTCTCTCTCTCTCCACTGCCCACATACAAAATTGTACGCTTTTAGTAGGCTACAGTTGTAATGGAACGTTTGTTCACGGCACAGAATTCTACAATTTTTCTGTTATCACAGTGTAGAATTCTGTGGTTTAGGGTGAACGCAAAATTTGTTGGCCTAGATCTAGGCTATAACAGTGAACGCGCACCGGGGCCGGGTGAGAATAGCCAAAAGACTAGCCTGCACTATTCTCATCCCGGGTGAGAATAGAGGTGGCCTTCAGAAAGAGTGACGGTCATGTCATCATGATGAGTCACGCTCAGTAATCTTCCTTGGAGTGTTTTATTTCCTGGATTTAGATCTAAGACACTTAGTCGGGAAAATTGAAGAATACCGGACCACTCGTACATTATTGCACGAGAAAGTGGGGCGGGTGGTTGGGGTGGAGGAGGGGGGGTTCAGGGGGGTCTTCCCCCCTGACAAAATTGTAATGAATAGATCTACCGGTCCGAGATTCTCATTGAGAGATATTAAAAACAGGAAAATCATAAATTCCTAAGGTTGAGACATAGGCAAAGTCAGTCCACTGGTCCGGTATTCTTCAATCTTCCCCAACCCCATCATCAGTATGAGTTAAGGCACCATAGAATCATTTCAAGATCTAGACTAGATTCTCGATCTAGAACTTTAGATCTCTAGAGTCTAGATCTTGACCTAGCATTCTATGCAAATTCAAAATCAAACACAATTTATTAGTATTAGATTCCCCTCGTCATCACAATCAGGTGGAATTAATTTGTTTATTCCTGGACATGCCATAAAACAACCCAAGCTCACAGTTGAACTGACTTGATGAATGTGAGTTTAAATTGAATCAGCAGCAGGAGCAGTAAAGTAAGGCGTAACACAAACAGCACAAGATAACAAAGAGCCTAATTGCAAAAGAATGGAAATAGAAGATATCAACTCCTGTGCTATTAATTGTACGTCAAAGAGCGGTTACATGCCAAAATAAAGTCACGAGATGTTAGGTTGAACAAAGAAGCGAAGGCTAGTTTGCTTTGTACTGAAGTGAGGATGAGGAGAGCAACCAAGAAGGGCCAAGGAAGTCGAGGCACAAAATAGACTCACAGCTATAACGTTGACAAATGTTGTTTTTCCAGAATACTGCAACCCGACAAGCGTAAGCTCCATTTCCTCTTTCCAGAACAAGCTCTTGAACCAGTCAAGAATCCTTTGAAAAAATGATAACATCGTGACAAATCTTTTCAACTACAAACTATTCTTTATTTTCGTTCTACGCCTCAACCACTTCAACAGGAAGGACTAACAGACAATCATGTGACCAGTCATGGGGTCAAGGCCCGAGTAACAAAAATTTTAGATTTATGAAAGTATTACAATACTATTACGATTTGTGACATAGTTTGTATGCCTTCTAAAAAAAATCACCCCAACTAAAGTAACAATTTTAAAATTTATTACTATCAACTGAAAATACAAATACCGGAGACTCAGAAAAGAAAAATAATCAGACAATCATTTCTTTCGTTTCTTTAATTTAGCGCAGAGTACAGGTTTTCAACTTTTCGTTCTGTGGAAATTAGAATTACAGTAATGGCCTGGGCCTGTGACCAGTGTCCGACATCCGAACGTTTTATTTATTTTAATAAAGTATAGCAAACATTAATCGTTCGTTACTTTTATTGTCAGTAGATTTCAAACACCTCCCCCCTGCCTTTTGTAAATGATGTAGCATCATAATATATTACTCTTGTGAAGTCAATGCGATCGTACTCGTAGTGTTTCGCATAACCCCAATCATTTTGGGTTCCGAAAATTGGGGCATTAATCTCCCTGCTCGTGTACCGTACAATAATGGAGATTGGCTTACCGGACCTCATCCGAGATTTTTCGCCTTTACCCGAGAAAGTTAGGGGATCTTAGCTAACCTAATATCAGGGGTGTGGTTGACAGATGGAGTAGTAGTAGAAAGGCAGCAGAAATAGTCAGGAGCCAAGGAAAGGGCAAAGGAGGGTAAAGTGGAGGTGAAAGCAGACAGACATATAATATATAACATGGTTAGAGAACAGGAAAGGAGGTGAAAGGAGAAAATTTTAAAGAAGAAAATTGTCTGTGGCGTCAGGATTCAAACCCGGGACCTATTGAATAAAAGGCGACCCCTGTAACCTCGACCACGAGAGCCCCGCTGCCGGTTAGTTGAAGGCCACGGCGGTTCCGAAGGTCCCGCCCGTTCGACCTCAGTCTAATTAATGCATTCGATCCAGGAGTCATCATCCAGTGCTAGATCCGCGGCAGACATCAGTGATCATGGTTCTCCGTTCATTTCTGTGCTCGGATGCTCTTTGAAAGGCTACATTTCACGGATCCTTCCCCGTTAACCATTTATTATTTTGTTTAGGTTCCCTAAGTAGGTTGCTCTGGGCCTACCTCTGCATCGTTTGCCTTCAATTTTGCCAGTGAAAACTAGATGTTCAAGTTATTAATTTGTGTAATTTATGTCTACAATGTATTCAGGTCTCCCCAAAACCCGGATCTGTCGTTTCCTGATTGCTTTTCATATGAGTGTCCCACGTGGGCTTCATCAAGCACTACTTCATTTAATTTCTTTTCCTTCCACGATATTCTCAGAAGTCTCCCGAGTAACTACGTTTCTGCTACTTCTATTTTATTTTCAACCTCTTTAGTGATTGTCCAGCTTTCACAGCCATAAAGCCATATAGAACCATGCATATAGCATTTCAGAACTTTCAGTTTGGTAGTCATTGAGATGTTTCTATTTTTCAGGATTGGGCTCATCATTCCTGATGTAGCCTATACGTATTATAAGTCCTGGTTGATTGGCCATAGTAACATAACACGCCAGGGGCATTATTTGGATCAATTATTAATACGGTACGTTTACATTTGCGGTGTGTGGATTGCTTCACCTTTTTTTTTTACTATTTAATGAGATACCGTACATGTATTTTCTCGACAGGTGAACATACAATGTAGGCCTACATGCATCAGGATTCTTTTCGTTCTTAAGGGACACTAGGTACAGCTGAAATGAATTTTTTTGTTTGGGGTCTAAATTAGTATTCTGGGATTCCCAATAACCAACATGGGTCAAGAAACAGAATCAAATACTATCCCTGTATGATTTCCCTGTCAATTTTCTGAATTCTTGGGATGCAATGGGTTCGACAGACCAAAATTGGCTCAAATTCTAGGCGGGGATTGTGAAAAAGATTGAATTGATACAGCCTTGATATTTTCACACAGTGTTTCTGAATATACTACCTGCAACGTGCTAAAGAGTTACTGTCCATAGTCTCATACTTTCCGTGTAACTGCCATTTTAGTGTCATATATGATACTCGGACAAAAGATTGATCACAAGTCAGAGTGATACTGTCAATCTTTTTTACACTGACAGAAAACTTATTACAATTCCACAATAATCTTTTAGTACGTTGCAAACATATTATCTTGAAACAGCCATACAGAGTGGGATTGATCTGTGACATGTACTTTCAGAAATATCTCCGCGCAGGTGACCCACCCCCCTAAGAGAATCATAGTTTTGAGAAAATGGAAAAAAACGAATTCATACTGGTCTATTTCAACACAATGTTCAAAAACATGGCATATGTGTATATTATTCATTTATTTGATATACATGTATCTGGAATGTGCACATTATATAAAAATGGAAAACAATTTGATTTTGGAAAAAATATCAGACTAAAACCCTCGACACCACCCTAAAAATACCAAGCTGATAAACCCTAAAATGGATAGAATTTTGATTTTTAGACCAAAATGCCCTTGAATATTATATAGGATGTACACAGTGCCCTGGAATTATAGATCTTTTACCAAAATGCCCTGGAATTATATTATTACTGCAATAAAAAGAAGAATTGAAATGCAAATCGTAAACACTTGCGCACATTTCGTCGCACTGAGGCAACCAGAGTTCGATTCCCGAATGGGGAGACGTTTTTATCAAGCATTTCTATCTTTCTGCTGGGATACTGTATCCTTCACAGCCCATGTTAGCCCTGACAAGCAGGGTCAGGAACCTGCCTCCTACACGATCTAAATTGAGTCGATGGGGATATCGGTAAAAAAAAAAAAAAGCGAACATGCTGCATCCCACCATCCTCACTTCACATTTCAAGACAACCGTGGAATATTATACACAGTTAGTACTGTAATCAAAAGATCAAAGAATGAAATAAAAATCGTTTACACCATCATCTATAGTGTAGCGGTTAGGATAGTCGGTGTCGCACTCAAGTGACCCGAGTTCGATTTCCGAGTGGGGAGAAATTTTTATCAAACATCTGATGTCTTTCTGCTGGGATGTTGTATCCTTCTCAGCCTGAGTTGGTCCTGACAGGCTGGGTTGAAAGCCCTCCTCCTAAATGATCTAAGTTGTGCTGAAAGCGGAATAAAAACACAGGTTACATTTTTAAAAAATATATAAAAAAGTTCTCCCTACATGCTGCATCCAACCATCCTCACTTCACACGTCACACTTCATGACATACCAAGATATATTTATCAAGCATCTCAGTATTTCTGCTTTGATGTTGTCTCCCTCTCAGCCGGTGTGGGCCCTGACAGGCAGGGTTGGAAACCTGCCTCCTAAATGATCTAAGTTGTGTTGATGGGGGGTGTAAAAACACAGGCTACAATACATTTTTTTCTTCAAAAAATCAATTTCCCTAAACATGCTGCATCCAACCATCCTCACTTCAGATGTCATACTTCATGACAGACCAAGATATATGTAAACTTTGTACTGTAATCAAAACAAAAAGGTGTAATTCAAAGGAAACAGGTGCCTGACATTTACCACAAACAACATTGCGAAACAGCCCGGCAAGCATCTCAAGATGGACTGCGGTTGTTTTGAAGTTCTCATTGTGATCCCCTGTGGGTATACTTCTGTAAAATTATTATAGTCCAGCTTTGTTTGTGAAGCCGTTTTGGAAGACGTCGGTGAGGAAGCTGCGATATTTTCAGCAACTGATGGAGCAGTCACCGCAGCAGGGTCACACGCTGGCGTGGTTTCAGCGACTGGTCGTGTAGTCACCGAGGCAGAGTGTAGTCACCGAGGCAGAGTGTAGTCACTGAGGCACCGAGGCAGAGTGTAGTGTAGTCACCGAGTCAGAGTCACGAGCTGATGTGGTGTCGCCTCGTATAAAAAGTTTTGTTAATTAATATTCCTATTGTGAGAAAGCTTTTCGTGCGTGGCCTCGTCTCTTCCTGGTTCTTTATCTCACTTCAGTGGCGGCTCATGGGGCTAAAAAGTGGACGTGCACAATTAAGCTATCGCATGCTGAACATAGTCAACGGCATAGTGAATGAGACGTTGTATAATTTTAGGATCTTTGGGTTGGTGAGGGAGCACCTCGTACTTTTATTTTCATTCTTTTTAATGTGTTTGTTAGCTTAACATCAATTTCGTTCATCCTGTATTGGAACTGAACACTCAGGTAATAACTTTTACTACTCCACTACTAAACCATTCAAAGGCACAACTCATAGGACGGTCACGTTCACCTCCCTCAGGTTCACGGCCACAGAGTCACTTAAAATAGTGTCAAGACAGACAATGAACCAATCACAATTCACTTGAGCAATCCGCTGGATCGCTCCGGGGCTCACACAATATTGGCAAAGAATAGGCCAGCGTACTGTTTATTGCGTTTATTTTTAGACTGCCTACTGTGGGCTATGTTTCGGCACTATTCGGCAGGAGCACATTTGAGATGTGCCGTTTTGTTAATATTAATGTACCGCCAAACTCTCTACGAGTGTCGTCATCGCTTGGGTTATCCACAAGAGCGATTTATAGGTCAGGTTGCACTGGGAAATATCCTTATGTTTAGCTAAAGCGCATGGACATTGGCATGGCATAGTAGATGTTTTACGGCGCTATAGACACAGAAATGACAGTTATGGCGCCAGTGAGGACCTTGTATTGATATAATATTTGGCTAGTGTTTGTTTCTGGCTTCTTTCATTATATTATTGTGGGTATTTTACGTAACAGAACATGTAAAAATGGTGGACAGCTCTGCACGACCGTGCTCAATGGACGAACCGCGCCTACTCACTTTGATTACCGGTACCTAGAGATCTAGTCAAACGGGTCAGCCTTCGCACCTGCGGATGAGACACACATATAACAGCATTAATTCAGGGAAAGGTTTTGGTTTGTAACAGCATCGGACTGGGTGTGACATCAGCAGAGACAGCCTGACGTCTCTTCACATTGAATCATTCACAGCAAAGCACTTTAATTACACATGTTTGGAGTT